TTTACTGAAAAAAGTACATTAACATAATATTTATTTTAAGCAAGTAGAGGGGATTATTTTTAAAAACTTCTATAAAGTAACATTTCTTCCATCACATGCAGTCCCACTACCTGATTTGCTTATGTAAATATTCAGATATTCTATATTAACTAAATTATACCCAGCTATTAAATGGTTATCTATCCAATCACATGTCACTATCGTAATTTTTGTCACGATTATGACATTCACAACTAATGCAGTAAAAACACCACTAAAGTAAATGAAAACAATTATTTCCCTTTGTCATTAGTTCATATGAATTACCAACAATGTTATAGAAACTCAGCTTTTATTATAAAGCCTCAGAATTGGACAACTTTTCCTGGACACAATTCAAGTAAGTATAACAGCTAAAGCTGTAGAATATAAGATAAACCCTTTTAGTTGGTTAAATGTCTATCTGTGCATAAGACTTGAAGAACATGCATAATTTACCTTGTGACACTGATAGAAAAAAAATCATTTTTCTGATATTAGAATTAAGCAGTATAATTCTGCTACTGTTTACTGAGTGTGTCTATATGCTAGGCACTGAGTGAAGTGCTTTCTATATATTACCTCTTTTGATTTTCACAACAGCTCTATGAAGTAGGCCCTATTACTATCTCCATTGTACCAATGAATAAACTAAGGCTCAGAAAGGTTAAATAATTTACTGAAGGTCATTTGGCCAGGAAGTTAAAGAGGCATATTTAAAATAATGACTGATCTGACATCAAGCCCTCTATGATTAACTACAATGTAAATGTATCTCTCCTTGTCATGTTGGGGTGGGGAACAGAAGAACTAAAATAAACAAACCTTTTCCTCACTTTCCACTTTAAAAATCCTTTTTATGGCAAACTGAATTCATCTTTGGCCAAAGCCAACCCATTAGAGTTGGAAAGTTAACCACTTTTCCATTATACAGACCACAATCCACAAATGAATAAAAATCACATCTCCTACAAAATATTTTTCTGTGACTGTGGTACAACTAAAATTGGCTCTAATGATATAATACTGAACCATAAATTAAATGGATGTATTCTTACCCAAGCTCTAGCAAAGACCAAAACTCTGACCAATAGTCTTAGTACAAAATTATACAAGGGCCTAGTCACAGTCAACAGATCGTCTTATATGCTGCTATGTACAAAAAACTGTACTTGAATCATTACAGCAGCTCTATTGATTACCGAAAAATACTGAGGAGAACCCAAATGCCCTTCAGTGGGTGAACGGCTGAACAAACTTTGGTATATCAATGCAACAGACTTATTACTCTGCAATAAGAAGGAATGAACTACTGATACATGCAACAACCTGAATGGACCTCAAGGGCTTTATGTTCAGTAAAAAAAAAATCAGTCTCAAAAGGTTACATGCTGTATGATTGCATTTATATAACATTCTTAAAATGACAAAACTACAGAGATGGAGAACCAGGGGGCGGGGGGCGGGGGCCGGCAGGGAAGTGGGTGCCACTACAAAGGGGAGCATGAGGGAGTTCTTTCATGATAATAGAACAGTTCTGGATCGTGATGTTGGTGGTGGTTACAAGCATCTATACACGGCATAAACTTGCATAGAACTACACACACACACACACACACACACACACACCGAACGCCGATTAAAAAATGTTGAAACTTGAATAAGGTCAATAGGCTAGTTAATAGCAATGTACCAAAGCCAATTAGCTGGTTTTGATATCATGCTATAGCTATAGGACTTACACAAGACTCTTTGTACTATTTTTGTAATTGCCTATAATTATTTCAATATCAAAAGTTTAAACAAAAAAATGGCCCTGGGTACGAGAGTCTGAATTGGAACCTGGTCAGCCTGAATCTAAAATTTGTGTTACTTCCCTATGTACCCCAATGTCTACAAAATCTATTTTATTAAAATATACAAAATATGCATTATTTCCTACAGAGAAAAATATAATATATAGGAGGCTCATCCTGGGTCACATTTAAAGAACTCTAAGAAAGTTCAAAAAGTACTTTATTGGGAAAAAATTTGAAATATCAAATCATTTCATTGGTAGCAACTAAGATCAGGTGTTCCAATGTCCAATATGGACATGGAAAGAAAGCTTTACAAGTGATAGAAAGTGATGACTGGGCTGCTTTGGCACCTTGACTGGGCACATTGCCTCTCATTCCCCTCTCACCAGAGGCAGCTCTGGAGTTTCCTGCCATGTTGCCTTGTTCACCTGAAAGGTTAACAGCTGTTCCTCTCCCGACACACCAGGCAAACAAGAGGCACAGCAGAAAGCTGTAAAATAGAGTCATTACACTGTATATTTGGAATCACTTTTCCATCTACCTGAGTACTTCCTGATGAGGTTGTCCTTGTGAGATGTAGAACATGGCCAAATTATAATTATCTCAGCCAAAAAGTAAGCTAAAGGTGCCAAATGGTTTTTGGAAGTTGCTGCCTGCCTTCATATAAATTCATCAAACCCTTGTACACTAAGTGACAGCTATGAAAAATTACACATACAGGCAAGGACAAAGAATCAAAATAGTGATGGGATGTTTTCCTGTTAGTGATGTTTTCCTGTTTAGCACCATTTTATTTTATTTCACTAAATTTCACTAAAGTTACCCCCCAAATTATTTTTATTTATTGATCAGAAAAATATCAAATAAATCATTTTTTTAAAATAAGAGCCAAAATTGTGTTCACTGTGTCAAGTCCCCAGTGCTGAATGTGCTATGGGTGCTACAAATCCAACTGCATATAGTTCAATTTAATAAATACATAGTATAAGGTGTTTATTAAGAACATAAGGACAAGACATTGCTTACGGAGATGACACAAAAAGTGAAAAAGACACCAGTCTGTAGCCTCAGTGAGAAGATAAACAGGTATACAGCTAACAAAACTCAGGAAAAACCATAATTACTGATATTATGAAGTATGCTAACATGGCAAATTCAATGTTACGTTAATAACAAGAAAGAGAAAACTCATGAGAATGGTCTTAAGGTATTTAAGAAGGAAATAAATGTCATTGATTATACTCCATAGGGCAGAACTGGATCAATGGCTGGAAATTACAAGAATATAGAGGAAGGCTGGTGATGTATATATAGTTTTTAATTAATTTTAATTGTTTTAAATTAAAATTCACATGTTTATAGACTTCAGGAACTTCCTAAGTAAATCATTGATAGGGACTTCCCCGGTGGTCCAGTGGTTAAGACTCTGCACTTCCACTGCAGGGGGTGCGGGTTTGGTCCCTGGTTGCCGAACTAGGATCCTGCATGCCATGTGGCACAGCCATAAATAAATAAATAAATAAATCATTGATGACTTACTAACTACAAGAGTATCCAATGAAACCTCTGTACTGGAAAGGAGTTGTTGAGACTCTTTCCAAGGGCCTGTCTTCTCCAGAGGCCCCTCGGATCACAGAAAGCAGCTTGTTACCCAGAGCCACAAATGAACAGCTCATAGAGACCAGATATAAGGGAGACTTGTAGGAACGAGGTGATCTGAGGATGGAATTATATCCAAAAGGAGTGATTCACACTGGGTGGAGATTAAATGACCCAGACACATGCTCTCTCATGAAGAGTTTACATTTTACAGAGGTCCCAGAGGAGGAAAGAAATACAAAGGCATTAGAAGAAGAGAAAGAGAAAAACTGAGCTCTAATTATGGAAAAGCAGATACAGCACATAGCAACCGACAGTCACTTCCGAGAGAGGAACAGGCTGAGCAGGCTTCCACACCTCCTGCTGGCCAACACTATGCTGTATCCTGAACAGTGCTCCACTTCTCCGTGAGACCTGTCCGTTCACCTACCAAGGCCTACTATCTTTTGTGAATTTACTCAATCACCAGAGGGAAACCTGAGACAACGTTGAACTTCATCTGAATTCTGTACTCCTGGAAAGCAAAGACTGTCCAGAAATTACCCCCCACCCCTTTTGTGTTCCTGGAAACAGCTTACTGCAAAGAACCACTCTTCCCCATGTAACTTAGATAAAACTCACGATGACCCCTTGTAACCTATGACAAGACCAAGACACAGACACTCCAATCCCACTGTTTATCTCATAAATGATTAGCTGAACTATTTGTCCCCATTGACCATTCTGGTCGATCAATGCCTGTTAACTGGACTTGACCTAAATTTATTCAGACTTCTCTCCTTCCTCCAAGCCCCTGAACTTTGGGCCACCCTTGAGCAATGGAAGGTGAGCAACCCCTCTTTAAAGACCTCCTCCCAATAATCAGCTGGCCTCAAGGAAAAACATTCCCTGATCAACTGTCCAATCATGCCACCCTCTCATCCCACTGCCCCACATCCAATTATTTCCAGCCTGTTCACTTCTCCCTAAAAAAGAAAAGCCCTTTTCTGCTTGAACTCTGAGATGCTTATAGATCTCATGGTCAAAGTGGTTCTTCCTACTGCAATATTCCTCCTCTTCCTATTGAGATAACACTCGACTGCTTATTATAATAATCTTTTTGAATAAAGCCTCTTCTTTTTACCTAAGTCTAGATTTGTTTTTGACATTTTCAACTTGCAAAGAGCCTAACTTTACAAAACACAAACTAAAATAATTAAATATCCTCTTATTATTGATATTTATTTTTACAGAATCACAACTATTATGTATTTCTTGATATACACCCACATAATAAAATATATAGAAGATACAGACCACCATAAACTAAAATCAAAATTAAACATAAATTAACTCTGTTATTCTCCCAATGTTTGAAAACAAAAATTACTTAAGATCATTAATTACTAAAATAATTAAAATAAAGCATTAAAAACAAGCATGAAAAGTTGAAACCAACCAACTGAGGTTTGGAAATTGCAGAAATAATTTCTTTATATTCTACTTTTGTCTTCTGTAGATCATCTCTTTACAAAGTCAAAAGAAGAAAAAGTTTGATCAACTTGTTTTTATGTTGGCCAACTAATAACTCAAGCATTAAACCAACTATAATACAGCTGTTAAAGTTCGTTCTGAAGAACTTTCTGCCAACAATGTCACTTTTCCAGTGGTCCAGTACCCTAGTTTCAACTTAGCATGGATACCATGTAGAGTTAGCACGTTAACTGTATCACATACATAAAATAAACCTTCAATGTTTTTAATGAAGAAGGTAAATACATGATATTTCTATTCCTGAAGGGATATTTTTTCTAAAATACCTCTATTCCTATTTATGAAAAAATATTTTTAAATAATAAATACTCATATTATAAGCAGATAGGGCAGGGGGTCCCCAGAGAAAGAAAACCAGGCATGGCTTTCTTGACGTAAGAGAGGCCATTTTTGGCCTAAGCCATTTTGTCATCTAAGCCTGGCCACAATGCTTGCCTTTGAACAGGTCTCAGTAATTAATGATTTTAAGGGAAGTGAAAGAATGCAAGAACAAAGGAAAAGCAGTCAAGAAATAATAGTTCAGTGATAAAACAGAGTCCTAGTTCCTCCTCAAGGGATATATGTAATAATCTGTATGAGTTCTGCAGGAACTAAGGCCCCCATCAAGGTGGAGGATGGAATGATGATGACGACCTTTTCTGACTTCAATCAACTAAAGCTTTGACTCTGTTGACCTTTGCCCCAATTCTATGCTGAATTCTCCTCTGCTCAACCTTCTTCATGAATACACATACACCACTCAAGTCCCTTCATGAGTGCGCAAGTACCCTTAGCTTAAAACTTTCCCAATTTTGCTGTTCTGCGAGACACTGCTTTGGAAAAGATCCCTGGTGTTCTCCTTACTTGTTGCAAGTAATAAGTCCTTCCTTCTCCCAATCTTTGGTTTGGTTGTGTCTTTTGGCCTGACACCCACCAAGACTCAAACCCAGCTTTAGGGTAACAGTATAACAAATACATCACAAAAAATCAACTACTCACCAGCATTGACTATAGCATCTACCTCTAGCAATGTGATGTCACCTCTATAGAGAGAAACTTCTTCACTCAAACTTTTCTTCACCTGTGATGTTTCCTGAGTATTTTCTTCTGTAATAAAGAAGGAATATATATTAATAGTAATATTCTTATTTAATTTAATAAAGACAATTTTAATACAAGAGCCAATATGGGTCACACTCGGATACATTAGACAAGTGGAAATAAATGTATAAGTACCAGGGGTGTGACTTATTCTCTATTTATTGTGTATTCCCCAATACAAATGCAGTATCACATACATAATAGGCATTCAATAAATTTAGGCATGTTATATAGGTCAACAAAAAGTTCAATGTTTACTATTAATACTATAAAAATATCAATTTTAAGATATAATTATGTACCACTGGTTTCACAAGAAGATGAGAAAAAGATGTGTAACTACCAAGACAAAATAAATTTTTACAATGAACGAGCTTACTTCTATTTTGTTCTAATTACCTAAAATGCATCCTTGAAAAGGATATTTACTGAGAAAAAAAAATTTAGGTTCAGCTCTTTGCTACTTCTAATAAGCTGTCCCTCGTAATGGTATGGATCAAGAACATCTGAAAGTGAAACTGCTCCTTTATCAAATTCTATAAACCTTTCCCTCTAGAGGGCGCTGCTAGATTGAAAAGAGAAAAAGCTCTGTCCTGCACACAACAGCCAGAAAGCTGGTATATTTAAAACAAGCCAAAACATTATCTTCTAAAACCTGACATATTTTTTACTGTTTTTGAGGAGTACTAAAATCTGAATTTTTCATGTATTTTTAACAGATAATAATGTTAAAATATATTCAACGAAGTTATATAAAATCAATGTTTTAAAATACATTGCTATACATAAAAAGCTTTTTAATATAACTTTAGGAAAGATGATTTATAAATTTAAACATTTTAAACTCATGATCTATGCAAATCTTTCAAGGGGGAAGGTAATGCTATTGATTCACAAAGACACTGTCAAATGAGCTTGCAATAATGAGGTGTGTAGGGGATTTGAGGTGATAGGCTACAAGACACTTAAATTGTCTTCGGGCCCCGATAACCAAAGAAAAAAATGGCCAAGACGAAGGAAATGATCTGTGGCCATAAAAGTGATCTTTCCTCTCTCTGCCTCCAAAGCATCCCCTTCTTTGCAATCACTTTTCTCCTTAAAGGATTCTAATCAATTATTCATTGGTGGTAGTAGCAGTAGTAGTAATAATAATAAGTAGGAGAATAATGTGGGAGAATTGTACATTAAAAGAGTAGAGAAAGACTTTAGAAGACCTCAAAATAGAAAACACTTACAGCTGACTTGACCACCTCAGGGACTCCTAGAATGCTGTTTCCCTGAGTCAGGTAAAGACTAAGAGTTCAGGCTTTACTACCAGACTAACTGTTCAATTCTTGGTTCTGCCAGTTAACAACTGGGTGACCTTGGATAAGTTATATATTTTCGCCATGCCTCAGTTCATAAGTTACTGGCTCCTTTACAGTTAACATGAGTTCATTACACTTAGAATAATGTTTGGTCCATAGTAAGCTCTCAACAAACATGCCCCTTTTTTACAAAGGTTTTACAGAGGTGACAAATACTATTTCAGCATCCATACTGAAATACCACAATAGTTTTTAAATATTTTCAACATTTATTATTATTATTATTCCCTATCAGTGAAAGAGATCGTATTTTGTTTGTACTCTTACTAATCTGTCAATGCCTGGTCCAATGACAAAGACTCTGAGCAAGAAGACCTTGAGTTCCATGCCAATCAGTTTCTATTCTTACTACTTTTAACAAATTAGAAAGTCCTGATTCCCAATTAAAGATTGTTGGATGATAATAAATATTTGGTGGCTTTGTCAGAAAATTCTGGATATTTGTACTACTGTAAACCTAGAAATTATAAAGACTTCTCACTGATGATGAGTTTTAAAACTCCATCAGGGGCTTCCCTGGTGGCGCAGTGGTTGAGAGTCCACCTGCCGATGCAGGGGACACGGGCTCGTGCCCCAGTCCGGGAAGATCCCACATGCCGCAGAGCGGCTGGGCCCGTGAGCCATGGCCGCTGAGCCTGCGCGTCCGGAGCCTGTGCTCCGCAACGGGAGAGGCC